TTTTTTTTTCTTAAGATTACGCATTAATGGTTTCTACGAGGAACAGAGAAGAAGAGCTTCATCAAGGAATAAAAAGGAATAAGCTTTCCTTATCGATCCTGATAGCCTTTTTTAGTTGATCAATACGATTGAAACCACTGAAAATATTCGCCCATCTGGCGCAGACTGACCAAGAGTACGTGCAAAACTAGAGCACAATTATCAAAGTTTATCCCAATACTGTCATTTTCTTTACAGGCTACTTGTGCTTTTAGTTTAAATAGAAAGAAGTAGAATACAGTACGTTTACTGAGGATTGTAGCAAAGAGAAATATAGATTGTTTTTGAGCCATGTTATCAAGTAGTGGCGAGTCCTTGTGGTTTTATCGCTAGCGTAAGACAGTGTTACGCACATGTCACATTGCGTGAAATGAAAATCGTTAAAGAGATCATCAATTATTGAAGCAATGAAGATATAAAGACAGAAGGATAAAATTTTCCATTACTCAAAGTTCTGGCGCCTTCTGATCGAAAAAACGCGTCAAGAACTAGCTTTGTTCAACTACACAAACGCAGAATTTCTTGAGAAGTGGTGAGTGAGAGCAAAGAGAGTTGTCGGCAAAGTGACAACGAACTTCACCAACTCGCCCAACATGAAGACGGAAGCACTGGCGTTTCTCATTTGCGCCTTATTCCTTCGCGAAACAACTGCCGACGAACAAGTGGCTCAAAGTGTGGAGCAGAAAAAAACAGTCGCAAAAAGAGACGAAGTATTTTACAACAATGTTGGATCGGTGAAAAACTCCTACCGAGTTTCAGGAGCGGAAAGGAGATCAGCAGAAAACCAGGAAAATCAAGCAAATCGGGCCGAGAGTACCAACAGTGAGTTGTTATACTACGGGTCATTTTATCCCAGGGATTTTGAAGGACGGGAATACGAGCTTTACTACCCTGAGAACCCCAGTTACGGAGAATGGTATGGCCCATTTGAGCCGCCGGTGGACTATTATGAAAACGGAGAAGAAAGCTGGGACGGCCGAGACTACAAACGTTCATTTGACTTCATTGGTCCTCGGGGAGGTAGGAGTGTGTACTATGGTCCCCGAGGGGGGAGGTATGTTTACTATGGCCCTCGAGGGGGAAGATCTGCTGAGAGTGAGGCTGGACCACGTGGAGGAAGATCTGTGGAGAACTCCAATGGACCTCGTGGGGGGCGGTCTGCGGAGAACGACAATGGACCACCCAGAGGGAGGTCTGCAGAAGACGAATCTGTAACTTTAAATACGAACACGGGACCCCGAGGTGGCAGAGCAGTGAACAATGATGGACCAAGAGGCGGACGAGCTGTTGATGGATCACAGACAAAGAGATCTACAACAACAGAACAAAAATTAGACACAAAATCAACAACAGAGAATGGACCGCGAGGAGGCAGGGACACCGCAGCCGATGCAGGTCCGAGAGGAGGCCGAGCAATCTCAGTGAAAAAAGCTTCTTCGGATGAAGCCAGCGGACCCCGTGGAGGAAGAGATACCCAGTCTGCTGCCAGTGGCCCACGAGGAGGTAGGGATGTGGGAGTCAAAAACCCCAGGGAAGAGAGAGTCAGGTCAGTTGAAAATGACGGTCCCAGGGGAGGCAGATCAGTGTTATTCGGTCCACGGGGTGGCAGGGCTGTGAATTCTGGTCCAAGAGGTGGGAGAGCCATTGAATACGGTCCTCGCGGAGGAAGATCTGTGTTTTATGGTCCTCGGGGTGGTAGAGCAATCGAATTCGGCCCCCGGGGTGGGAGAGCAGTAGATTTTGGTCCTCGGGGTGGAAGAGCAGTAGATTTCGGTCCAAGAGGTGGTAGAGCAATTGATTACGGCCCCAGGGGTGGTAGAGAAATTTATTACGGACCTCGGGGTGGGAGAGCAATAGAATACGGCCCTAGGGGTGGTAGAACTATAGAGTATGGACCTAGGGGAGGAAGAGCAATAGGATATGGTCCCCGAGGCGGTAGATCTCTTTTATATGGTCCTCGTGGTGGCAGATCCATGGAAACGTATGGTCTACGTGGTGGAAGAGCAATCGATTTCGGTCCTAGAGGAGGTAGGGCTGTTGAAAATGGTCCCAGGGGTGGTCGGTCTTTAGCGTTCGGTCCCCGGGGTGGTCGATCTGTGGGAGATGGTCCAAGGGGAGGTCGATCATTAGATCTTGGCCCTCGTGGTGGGAGATCTCTATTCGAGGGTCCACGCGGCGGTCGATCGACTTTGTATGATATCGTTTATGGCCCAAGAGGGGGAAGGTCTGCAGAATACGATGGTCCCCGTGGGGGAAGAGACCTTGATTACATCTTTGGACCCCGTGGTGGAAGAAGCCTGGGCTATGTGGACATTTATGGTCCCAGAGGGGGTAGAGCCTTGGAGGAAATAGATTTTGGACCAAGGGGAGGTCGCACCGTTGATTACGTAGGTGATGGATACTATGATTTTGGCCCAAGGGGAGGAAGGGCTATTTATTATGAAACAGGGCCACGCGGGGGTAGGGGTATAGAATTTGAGGCGGGTCCCCGTGGCGGACGAGGTGTGGAGTATAGACTTTTCAGTGGGCCACGTGGCGGACGGGACATCTCTGGACCTCGCGGGGGACGCAGTGCCGCCTACTTTGAAATATCAAACGGCCCTCGAGGAGGACGTGCCGTGGAAAGTGGGCCTCGAGGAGGTAGGAACGCAGTCATTAACTCTATGTCTGGTCCGAGAGGTGGGAGGTCCATCTTATCAGAGGGTACCATGTGGACCAACAGTGGAGCGAGTAACACAGGGCCAGGCGGAGGAAGGAGCGTAAGCAACAGCAAGGCTGAGAAAGCTGGACCTCGAGGTGGTCGGAGTACGTCCGAGAATAAAAAAACTGAGAAGCGTGAGGCCACCAGCACTACAGCGGCTGAGAAGACACTTGCCAAAAAAAGAGAGGAAAGAGACTCTAAGGAGGCAGATGTTGATTTGCAAAAGATTGATAAACAGCTAACAAAGTCCAGCTAAGCGCAAACTTACCATGCAGGTTATCGTCCGGTTTATAAGGTAAATCATTTTACTAGAAATCCTAAAAGTATCGTTAACCGACATTTCGATGCATCAAGCATCATTCTCAAGACTGAGGTCGTTAATGTTAATGTCAAAGTTGTTATTTACGAG